CTGTGGAGGACTGGTTCCAGGACCCTCCCCCCAACACTGATACTCAAGTCCCTGATAGAAAATGGCATAGTTTTTGCATATCACCTATGTACATCCTCTTGCATACTATAGACTTGTGGAGTTTTTTTAAATGGAGAACTGGGTCTCACTGTGTTGCCCAGGCTGGTCTTGAAGTCCTTGGCTCAGGTGATCCACCCCTCTCTGCCTCCCTAAGTGCTGGGATTACAGGTGTGACCCACTGCACCCAGCCAAGGGGCAACTACATTGAAAAGTCGGCTGTTTTTATAACCCGGCCCTTTTCCATTTGTGATCTAGGTCTCACCCTTTTTCCTGTTTCTCTCTCAGGTTTCTTTTCTGGATTAACCCAATCAGCATAGGTTAGAGCATCTTTGTTTGTTTTTTTTGTTTTGTTTTGTTTTTTTGAGACGGAGTTTTGCTCTTGTCGCCCAGGCTGGAGTGCAGTGGCGCGATCTCGGCTCACAGCAACCTCCGCCTCCGGGGTTCAAGTAATTCTCCTGCCTCAGCTCCCGAGTAGCTGGGATTACAGGTGCCTGCCACCACGCCTGGCTAATTTTATATTTTTAGTAGAGACGGGGTTTCACTGTGTTGACCAGGCTGGTCTCGAACTCCTGACGTCAAATGATCTGCCTGCCTCAGCCTCCGAAAGTGCTGGGATTACTGGCGTGAGCCACGGCACCCAGCCCCAAATGGCCTTTTAAACTGTAAATCAGGTCACCTCACTCCCTGTGACCTGTTATTTTTGCCATCGTCCACGGGGCCTTGACGATCTGGTTCACAAATCTTAAGATGATCTCTGACCTCATCACAGCCGCCGCCCCTGGTTTGCTCTGGCTCCGTCTACTCCGGCCTTTGCAGTCAGTCCCCGGCCTCCACACGGGTTCCTGGGCCTCAGGTGGCCTCCCGCAGCGTCCCCATGGCTCGTTCCGTTTCCTTGCTGAGGTCTGTGCCCAAAAGTCGTTCCTCCCAGATGCCCGTCTAGAATCCACGCCGCCGTCCCAGCTTCCCAGTCACAGCCGTGATCTTACCCGCCTTGTTGTCTTTCTGTTACTTGTCAGTGTCTGAAATTAGGTTCCTATTTATATTCTTATTTACTGTCTGTCTCTCCCACTGGAGGAGGAAGTCCACCAGGGCAGCAGCCTCATCTCTTTCCTGAATCTCTTGTGCTTAGAACAAGCCTGGCACACAGTAGGTACTCAGTTGCTTTCTGCTGAATGACTTTTAGCTCTTACCAGTTATAAAACATAGCGGGGTAAAACACAACGTGCTGACAACAGCATATCTCCTACACATCAGTAAGTCAAAGATAAGCAACATTTACACTGTCAATGGGAGTGTAAATTAGTTCAACCATTGCGGAAGACAGTGTGGTGATTCCCCAGGAATCTAGAACCAGAAATACCATTGGAGCCAACAATCCCATTACTGGGTGTGTACCCAAAGGATCATAAATCACTCTTCTGTAAAGACACATGCACGTGTATGTTTATTGCAGTAAATATACAATAGCAAAGACTTGGAACCAACCCAAATGCCCATTATGATAGACTGGATAAAGAAAATGTGGCACATATACACCATGAAATACTACGCAGCCATAAAAAAGAATATAGACAGCATGGAATACTATGCAACTATAAGAAAGAATATAGACACCATGGAATATTATGCAGCCATAAGAAAGAATGAGTTCATATCCTTTGAAGGGACATGGATGAAGCTGGAAACCATCATCCTCAGCAAACTAACACAGGAACAGAAAACCAAACAGTGCATGTTCTCACTCATAAGTGGGAGTTGAACAATGAGAACACATGGACACTGGGAGGGGAACATCACACCCCGGGGCCTGTTGGCAGGTGGGGGGCAAGGGGAGGGAGAGCATTAGGAGATATACCTAATGTAGATGACGGGTTGATGGGTGCAGAAAACCGCCATGGCACATGTTTTCCTATGTAACAAACCTGCACATTCTGCACGTGTATCCCAGAACTTAAAAAAAAAAAAGTCTTGAGTGTGCTGGTCATGCCTGTAATACCAGCACTTTGGGAGGCCGAGGCAGGCGGATCACCTGAGGTCAGGAGTTCAAGACCAGCCTGGCCAATGTGGTGAAACCCCGTCCCTACTAAAAACAGAAAAGTTAGCCGGGCTGGTGGCAGGTGCCTGTAATCCCAGCTACTCGGGAGGCTGAGGCAGAGAACTGGTTGAACCCGGGAGGCGGAGGTTGCAGTGAGCTGAGATCTCACCACTGCACTCCAGCCTGAGCCACAGAGTGAGACTCGGTCTGCCCCCCGCCACCAAAAAAAGAAAAAAAAAAACGGATAAGCAACAAAAATGAGGCATCATTTTCTCCCCCTAGCAAACTGGAAAAAGTGATGACAGTGATAATGTTGGTGAAGGCGCGAGGACATGGGCTCCTTCATTTCCCACTGGTGGAAACACAAAACGGTCCCAAGTGGTGAGTCATGGGTAATTTTTAATCTCAATTTTTGCGGTTTGCTATGTTTCCCAACTTTTTTTCCAATGATTTTTTTCCTCCAAGAATTACTTTTTAAACCAGAAAAACTCATCATTTTAATCTTCCTTTAAAAAAAAAAAATTAACCTGGCTCAATCATTGCGCAGCAAACTTACGAAGCAGATCCCGGCGGCAAGATGGTCTGGTTCTGTTGTTGAACCGCTTACGGATGTTTAATCTGAATTCTGTACCAAGTTTCTCTGGAATGATGCAATTGTGGTCATTAAAAACTGGGTCTGGGCCGGGCGCGGTGGCTCAGGCCTATAATCCCAGCACTTTGGGAGGCCGAGACGGGCGGATCACGAGGTCAGGAGATCGAGACCATCCTGGCTAACACGGTGAAACCCCGTCTCTACTAAAAAAAATACAAAAATTAGCCGGGCGAGGTGGCGGCGCCTGTAGTCCCAGCTATACCGGAGGCTGAGGCAGGAGAATGGCGTGAACCTGGGAGGCGGAGCTTACAGTGAGTGCAGATCGTGCCACTGCACTCCAGCCTGGGCGACAGAGCGAGACTCCGTCTCAAAAAAAAAGAAAACAAACAAAAAAAAACTGGGTCTGGGCACAGTGGCTCACACCTGTAATCTCAGCACTTTTGGGAGGCCGAGGCGGGAGGATCACCTGAGGTCAGGAGTTCCAGACCAGCCTGGCTAACATGGTGAAACCCGTCTCTAATAAAAATACAAAAACTAGTCAGACGTGGTGGTGGATACCTGTAATCCGAGCTACTCGGGAGGCTGAGGCAGGAGAATCACTTGAACCTGGGAGGCGGAGGTTACAGTGAGCCGAGATAGAACCACTGCACTCCAGCCTGGGCGACAGAGCAAGACTCCATTTTTTAAAAAAACAAAAAACAAAAAAACAAAAAACACGCAGGATTGTTCTTGTTGTGAGGTCCTGGGCTGGTTCTGTGAGCCCCCCAGAAAGGTGGGGCTGGGAAAAACACGCAGACTGAGTGCAGTTTGAGGTGGGTGGGGTCCCACAGCCCTTCCTGCCAAGATACAGGTCTCCACAGACAGGGAAGCCCAGCATTGCGTGGCAGATCCCTTGCCCTCCCCCTCACTGCCTGGGATGGAACTCGGGACAGTCCTTGTCCCACCATGCACTGCCCTCTTCTCTCTGTTCTTCTCTCTGCTGCTGCCTTCTCACGCCTGCTTTCCTGCGACACATCCTTGCCCTGTTCTGCCGACAGGCCCAGCCTTCCTCCAGAGACCCTCAAGGCCCCAAGCAGGGAAGCTCACAGCTGAGTGGCCTAAACAGTGGGGCACCCTGCAGCTTCCCTGTTTCTGTCTTTTCTGGAGGTCCATTGCTAGCTGAACAATGCATTTATTTATTTTTTTTGAGACGGAGTCTCGCTCTGTCACCCAGGCTGGAGTGCAGTGGCACGATCTCAACTCACTGCAACCTCCACCTCCGAGGTTCAAACGATTCTCCGGCCTCATCTTCCTGAGTAGCTAGGATTACAGGCGCCCGCCACCACGCCCAGCTAATTTTTGTATTTTTAGTAGAGACAGGGTTTCACCATGTTGCCCAGGCTGGTCTTGAACTCCTGACCTCAGGTGATCCTCCCGCCTTGGCCTCCCAAAGTGCTGCGATTACAGGCGTGAGCCACCACGCCTGGCCCCAACGTCGCATTTAATTATGTTGGTTTTCGGGCTTGGCGGGGAAGTCCTAGAGCACCCAGTCACCTGCCCATATGTCATTCACCCCGACGGCAGTGAGCGAACAGAGGAGGCCGCCCACGCTCGGCTTCCAGTCCTGTGCTTTGCATTCCATGTTCTCAGCTTCATTCGTCTTAGACCCTGGATGTCCGACCGTATGCACAGCCAACCTCAAGAATCTGCCAGTAGACTGAAGCAGGTTTTATGCAGCACCGAGAGCCGAGGGTTGGGGCTGGCTCTGGGCATTGCTTCCCTTGTGCTTTGCAGGGAACGTAACGACGACTGTGATATTTCAAGTGCAGGGACCTGGTGAAGGGCTGAGGGGGCAGATTGTAAGTACGTGGCTTTCTATTGGAAAACCTGTCTCTTCTCCCTTGGTGGGAAGGGGCCATGGAGAGCGGCTGCTGTTGCCTGCTGCCAGGGTGGCGAGGCGCTCATGAAAATCTTCCCTTCCTTCCTTAACCACCCGGTGGTCTGATTGTGTCGTGAAGATGCGACATCCATCTTCATCTGCGTGATTTTTAGAGACATAAAAGGGTCGTACGCTGCAGGATGAGTGTGGTCCTCCGTCAGCCTCCACCTCAGAGTCCCCTGCGATGTGCGGACCCCGGGGGCCAGTGAGATTGTAGTTAACGTGCCCCTTTGCCCAGCAGCCCTGCTTGGGATCCATTGTTCTTTTCTGTGTCTTGAATGCTTGCCCGTTCATCCAGCCTCCAGGCCTAAGGGGCTCAAAAGAACTCTGCAAGAAGAACTCTGCAATGAATCTGGTCTGGACTTAACCACCACCTTTTACTTTTCTTCATACAGCTCAAACTTTGGAACAAATACCGAATTTCCAACATTCCATCGCTAATATTCCTCGACGCCACCACGGGGAAGGTTGTGTGCAGGAACGGGCTGCTGGTGATCCGAGATGACCCAGAAGGTAAAACCTCAGCACGTGCATATGGTCCTCTTATTACCCAGCCCCTCTTCCTCCATGCCCCTACCCTCATCGCCGTCCCACCGGTAGAGAGAGTACTCATGAAATAGATACATGTGGGTTTACGTGGCTAGAGAATGTCGTCTTGGTGAAATCGTAGTATTCCCTAGGACATGGTTTTAAGATTTTTACGGGGATCTGAATGTCCCTCCTAGGAGCTTTCATTCATGGGCCAAAAGAGATGGAGTCTGCCAAAAGAAGCCCTGCTCGGAGGGCCGTGGAGGCCGTGGGAAAGCGGGGAGAGCTCAGACCCCAGCTTCTAGTGCTGCATCCGTGGCAGCTGCCCCTTCACAGTTAGAGGCGGCTGAGTGGGGTTTTTCCTCTTTAAAATATGACATAGCAAAATCCCAGCCCCCCGCATCACTCTCCTGGCCTTGGCGGTGAGTGCACCTGGTTGCTTGGAGCTGCCATGCCCTGCAGGCCTTGGTCTTGCTGGCCACGTGTGGGCCGTTCTCCTCCAGGCCCCCCTCTCAGGGCCGTCGCCATGGCCTCCTTCCCTCTGGCAGTGAGAACAGGCTGTGAGATCTCCTCCCCTCACTTCATCCATCCAGTGAGACGATTCAGCCCTGCTCACGCGTTTTCCCAGTGAACACGCCGCCTCCTTCAAAGAATCGCCTCAGGAAAAACCAGGGCATGGTGGAACCAGTGCGAAGCTTTTCCTTTTTTTTTTTCTTGTTTTTTTGAGACAGTATCTTGTTCTCTCGCCCAGGCCGAGTGCTGTGGCATGATCGTGGTTCACTGCAGCCTCGACCTCCTGAGTTCAACTCACCCTCCCATGTAGCTGGGACTACGGGCGTGCACCGCCACACCCAGCTAATGTTTTATCATTTGTAGAGATGGGGTCTCTCTAGGCAGCCCAGGCTGGTCTCAAACTTTTGAGCTCCAGCAGTCCGCCCACCTCGGCCTCCCAAAGTGCAGGGATCGTGGGGCGGAGCTTCGGAGCCTGGCCCCCGTGTGGATTCCTGAGCCCGACCTCCAGAAGGTTGTGGATCCCTCTTGTTTTTGGGGAGGCCCGACCACCTGCGTTTTCAACCAGCCTGTGCTCCTCCTTCCCAGCCCCCGGCCGCCAGGTGACTTTGAGGCAGCGCGTCCATGGACCGCCCTGTCAGAAAACACTGCAGTTGAGCGGGAAGCATATTATCAATTCCCCCTACCTGGAGCTTAGGTGTCTTCAGAACGTGGACCATCCGGGCTGGGTGGGTTTTACCCTTTTATTAGACTTAAATTCTCACTTGGTTCCCTGAGCCCATCAAGAGCAATCGAATCACAATCTCTGGGCGTGGGGCCCAGGAGCATGATATTTCTGAATTCCCGAGCTGATTCCAAATACAATCAGACCTGACAGCCACTGGGATGTGGCGGCTGGGATTGAATCCACAATCCTGGGTATCATTCCCAGGATAATCCACAACCCTGGGTATTGATTCTCGAGGCCCCGAGGCGATGGGCCCCTCGTCAGAGTTACCTGAGGAACCTGTTCGTTTTGCGTGTACATCTTTGCGTTGCTCCTCGGTCTCCAGCCTCAGGATGTGGCCTGGGCATTCGTACTTTTCAAAAGCCCCCGGAAGACAGACCTTGTGACCATCCAGGTTTGGGAACCATTGCCTGGAGGGCAGGTAATGGCTGTACTTTGATTCCTGTGTTTCCTGCAGATGCTGTGGGTGTGTTCACAAGCACTGTTTGATGATTAAGTTGTCACGCCTGCCGCTCTGAGGCCTCCTGGGTCCCAGGCCGTCAAGAAGAGTCTTAACCCTCTTTTACCATCTGTTTTCTGTTTCAGGTCTGGAGTTCCCCTGGGGGCCTAAACCCTTCCGGGAAGTCATTGCAGGGCCCTTGCTTCGAAATAACGGGCAGTCCCTGGAGAGCAGCAGCCTGGAGGGGTCTCACGTGGGCGTCTACTTCTCCGCACACTGGGTGAGTGTTTGGCCGCCTGTGGCTCAGACAGAAGGAAGCAGGGACGTGCCCAGCAAGCCCAGCTGTGGTTGGCGTCTGGGGGTGAGATGCCCAGGCAGGAATTTCCCGGCCCTGTGGTCTTTTCCTGTGCTCAAGGCCTGCGTGAATAGTGCTTGCGATTATGAATGGAAAAAGCAGCAAGAAATGACTTCTTTGATCTATAACGATGGTCTCTTTTTTTTTTTTTTTTTTTTTTCCCTGAGACAGAGTTTTGCTCTGTTGCCCAGGCTGGAGTGCAATGGCGCGATCTTGGTTCACTGCAACCTCCCGCCTCCTGGATTCAAGCGATTCTCCTGCCTCAGCCTCCCAAGTCGCTGGGATTACAGGTGCCCGCCACCACACCTGGCTAATTTTTGTATTTTTAATAGAGACAGGGTTTTGCCATGTTGGTCAGGCTGGTCTCGAACTCCTGACCTCAGGTGATCTTCCCACCTCGGCCTCCCAAAGTGCTGAGATTACAGGTGTGAACCATCGTGACTGGCCCTCTGTTTTTTTTTTTTTTGGGGGGGGGCAGTGTCTTGCTCTGTCGCCCAGGCTGGAGTGCAGTGGTGTGTTCTCAGCTCACTGCACCCTCTGCCTCCCGGGTTCAAGTGATTCTCCGGCCTCGGCCTTTCAAGCAGTTGGGATTACAGTTACGCACCACCATGCCAGGCTAATTTTTTTTTTTTTTTAGTAGAGATGGAGTTTCTCCATGTTGGTCAGGCTGGTCTCGAACTCCTGACCTCAGGTGATCTGCCCACCGTGGCCTCCCAAAGTGCTGGGGTTACAGGCATGAGCCACAGCACCTGGCCTGGATATTTCTCTCAATCCACGCGGATGAGTTCGTGCTACCTGCTCGCGCACTGCGTAGGGACGATGCGGGTGCTTGTGCCAGATGCTCACCCTTAAGAAAGGCGTTTATTTTTGCCTCATTCATTCAGGGGACTAGGTCTTGCTGTGTTGCCCAGGCTGGCCTCAAATTCCTGGGCTCACGCGATCTTCCGGCCTCAGCCTCCCCGGTAGCCACCACACCCATCTCATTTCCACCTGTTTCATGAACGGGATTTTGCTGTCCCAATCCTGCTTGAGTCCTGCTAACCCGGCCTCGGAGGGTGAGTGACTGGGACATGGAGAAGCAGCGTCACCCAGCAGGTCTTGCTGTCCTGTCTTTCAGTGTCCGCCCTGCCGAAGCCTCACCCGGGTCCTGGTGGAGTCCTACCGGAAGATCAAGGAGGCCGGCCAGAGCTTCGAGATCATCTTCGTTAGTGCAGACAGGTCAGTCGTGCCGTGAAGTGCTGGGCCCCTTTTCTGTATGTAGCTGACATCTTTTTTTTTTTTTTTTTTCTGAGATGGAGTCTCACTCTGTCACCCAGGCTGGAGTGCAGTGGCTGGGTCTCGACTTCCTGCAACCTCCACCTCCTGGGTTCAAGCGATTCTCCTGCCTCATCCTCCCAAATAGGATCGAGTGGTTCTCCGGCCTCAGCCTTTCAAGTAGCTGGGACTACAGGTGTCCGCCACCACGCCTGGCTAATTTTTGTATTTTTAGTAGAGATGGGATTTCACCATGTTGGCCAGGATGGTCTCAAACTCTTGACCTCGTGATCTGCCCACTTCGGCCTCCCAAAGTGCTGGGATTACAGGCGTGAGCCACCGTGCCGGGCCGGATGGCTGTTTTCTCAGCTCTGGCCATGCGCTGTGTCTGGTGCTATTTGAATGCACACAGATACACACAGATAAGGAATCACAAAACAGACATTCTCCCCGGAGTCAGTCAGCTCCTCTGAACCTCGGGTTCCTCTGCTTCTTACCTTCTCTAAGGCCTCACTGATCAGGGAACCTCCTTCATCTCGAAACTCCCGCCCCAGTTTAGACTGAGTCACCAGGGGCCTCTGCCGCTTACCTTCGTGTCCACAAAAGGATCCGAGGTGCCGGCACACGGAGGGCGCTTCGCACAGTGTTGTACCTGCCGTGTCACAGTCCCCGTCTCAGCATGAGGCCATCCAGGGGCAGCAACCAGGGATTTTTTGTTGTTTTTGAGACGGAGTCTCGCTCTGTCCGCCAGGCTGGAGTGCAGTGGCGCGATCTCCGCTCACTGCAAGCCTCCCGGGTTCAAGTGATCGTCCCGCCTCAACCCCTGAGCAGCTGGGATTACAGGCACCTGCCACCACGCCCGGCTAATTTTTGTATTTTTAGTAGAGATGGGCTTTTGCCATGTTGCCCAGGCTGGTCATGAACTCTAGGGCTTAAGTAATCTGCCCGCCTCGGCCTCCCAAAGTGCTGGGATTACGGGTGTGAGCCGCTGTGCCCGGCCACAGTCACTTTTTTTTTTTTTTTTTTTTTTGAGACAGAGTCTCGCTCTGTCGCCCAGGCTGGAGTGCAGTGGCGCGATCTTGGCTCACTGCAACCTCTGCCTCCTGGGTTCACGCCATTCTCCTGCCTCAGCCTCCCGAGCAGCTGGGACTACAGGGGCCCGCCACCTCGCCTGGCTAATTTTTTTGTATTTTTAGTAGACAGGGTTTCACCGTGTTAGTCAGGATGGTCTCAATCTCCTGACCTCGTGATCCGCCCGCCTCCCAAAGTGCTGGGATTGCAGATGTGAGCCACTGTGCCTGGCCACAATTACTTTTTTAAATTTTTAAGCATCAACTTTATTGAAGCATAATGTATACATTATAAAATGCATGCATTTAAGGTACACAGTTCAGCTGACCAGTGTACGTACCATGTAACCACCATCACCACAGACAAGACCCAGAACATTTTCATCACTCTATAGGTTCCTTGGGTCCATCTCCTCCCATAAACCCAGCCCCAGGAAACCCCTGATCCACTTCTGCCGCTTGAGTAGATGTGCCTTTCCTAGGGTTTTTTACATGTGGAATCAAAGGTATATGGTTGGTTTAAATTTGTGGCCCCGTAGAAGTCACCGTTCCGTGCACAGATTAGAACTCCCACAGGTATGCAGTGACTGTGCACATCTAAGCTCCTGAGGCAGGAAAGAGCTGTCTGTGCTGAGAAATGGAAAACTGGACTTGAGTTATGTTGCTCAGATGGGAGCAGCCGAAGTGGGCTGGCGTCTGAGCTGGGACCCGCCTGCTGTGTGGAGGCATTTGCTTCTTAGTGGACCCCATCCTGGGCAGAATAACACACTCCCACAGCCGGTTGCCTGAGAAGCACAGTGGCTGGAAACCCTGACTTCCGCCGAATCCCCGGGCAGAACTCGGCAGAGGTGGGAGGATTTGGCGGTGGTGCAGTGGGGACGCTGAGCCGTGCTCACTGCGTGTGTCTCTCTGCAGGTCGGAGGAGTCCTTCAAACAGTACTTCAGTGAGATGCCCTGGCTCGCCGTCCCCTACACTGACGAGGCCCGGCGGTCACGCCTCAACCGGCTGTACGGAATCCAAGGTAGGTGCTCTAGGCCCCGGCTCCGTGCGGCTCCTGGAAACCGGCTCACCCGCGCCCACCGTGTCTTTGGCTTTCCTTTAAGAAAGGCATCATTATTTCCATGAATAGTCATGTTCCTCTCATGTTTCTCCACAGTGTAGAATTTTCCTGGTGTGAATTCTAATCCATTTTTTAAAAATAAGTATTGCCAGTCTGGGCACGGCAGCTCACACTTGTAATCCCAGCACTTTGGGAGGCTGAGGCAGGCAGATCACCTGAGGTCAGGAATTCGAGACCAGTCTGGACAACATGGAGAAACCCCATCTCTACTAAAATTACAAAAATTAGCCGGGCATGGTGGCGGGTGCCTGTAGTCCCAGCTACTCGGGAGGCAGAGGCAGGAGAATCGCTTGAACCCGAGAGGTGGAGGTTGCAGTGAGCCGAGATCACACCATTGCACTCCTGCCTGAGTGACAGAGGGAGACTCCATCTCAAAAAATAATAATCATACTAAATACTGTTTTAGTAAGACAGCTGCTTCTCACTGCCCAGAGTGTGGATTCTGATATGATTGGGACACGGAGCACAGCCTCCCAAATGACGTGGCCATTTGATTAAGGGGAGATAATGCGGTAGTGACATGTAAGCTAGACTGGAAGAGAAATCCCAGAGGCAGGTCATTCACTACTGATACGTCTTTAATTTTTTTTTTTTTTTTTTTTTTTTTTTGAGACAGAGTCTTGCTCTGTCGCCCAGGCTGCAGTGCAATGGCGCGATCTCGGCTCACTGCAGCCTCCGCCTTCCCAGGTTCAAGCGATTCTCCTGCCTCGACCTCCCCAGTAACTGGGATTACAGGCATCCGTCACCACACCCGGCTAATTTTTGTGTTTTTAGTAGAGATGAAGTTTCACCAAATTGGTCAGGCTGGTCTTGAATTCCTGACCTCAGGTGATCCTCCTGCCAAAGTGCTGGGATTACAGGCATGAGCCGCCGCGCCCGGCCTGTTCACTGATACTTCTGATGTACACATTGAGCACACACCGTGTCAGGGCCGCAGACGGGCTTGGGGCTGCACTGCCCGATGTCAGGCCTCAGATGGCCCCGCCTGTGGGAGAGGACGTGATCTGGGCAGCTTCTGCCCCTCCCACCCCCGCTCTGTCCCTGTCCCTGACTGTCTCCTGCTCACTGTCATTTCTGGGTGACGGGGAGTGTGCGGCCCGTGTGCCGGAGGAGTCTGGTTTCTGGGGTTGTTACTTCCTGGGCAGCGTTTCGTGTTGATCTCACCGGTCAGCAGCACTGTTCTCACAAGTACAAGTTCAGGCAGAGTCACTGCATCCCACTGCCTCCAACCGCCAAAACAGAAGAAAACCCACAGCCTGTTCTGGGGCAGAATCGCCAAGAATAGGCCTTTGTGGCCCCCCGGGAGCAGAGCTGTTGGGGGATGTGGAGGTGGGGCTGGCAGAGGTCCCATGACCATCACACCCCTCACTATTGGCTTCTCATCCTTTTTCCCTGCTCCTCTTCCAGCCTCTCTCCTCAGCAGGCCTGCGTTAGAGGGAACACGACGGCTGCCCCGAATTCCCTCAGTGCCGCTCTTCTGCCCTGAAGCATCCCTCTTTCATCCTTGGGTTCCATGACTCAGGAATTCTGTGTGTCTCCCACCCCCGTTCCTCTTTCTTCATCCCTCTTTCATCCTTGGGTTCCATGACTCAGGAATTCTGTGTGTCTCCCGCCCCCGTTCCTCTTTCTTCATCCCTCTTTCATCCTTGGGTTCCATGACTCAGGAAGTCTGTGTGTCTTCCGCCCCGGTTCCTCTTTCTTGTTAGCGGTATCATCTCTACGTTTTTTCCCTTTTGGTCTCAGTCGTCACCCAGAATGGAGTGCAATGGCGCAATCACGGCTCACTGCAGCCTCCAACTCCTGGGCTCAAGCCATCCTCCCACCTCAGCCTTCTACCACTCCAGCTGATTTTTAAAGACTTTGTAGTGACAGGGTCTCACTGTGTTGCATAGGCTGATCTCGCACTCCTGGCCTAAGCAATCCTCCTGCCTTGGCCTTCCAAGATCCCTACTTTCTTTTTCTTTTTTTTTTTTTGAGACGGAGTCTTGCTCTGTCGCCCAGGCTGGAGTGCAGTGGCGCGATCTCGGCTCACTGCAAGCTCTGCCTCCCGGGTTCACGCCATTCTCCTGCCTCAGCCTCCCGAGTAGCTGGGATTACAGGCGCCCGCCACCACGCCCAGCTAATTTTTTGTGTGTGTATTTTTAGTGGAGACGGGGTTTCACCGTGTTAGCCAGGATGGTCTCGATCTCCTGACCTCGTGATCTGCCCACCTCGGCCTCCCAAAGTGTTGAGATTACAGGCGTGAGCCACAGTGCCTGGCCCCAAGATCCCTACTTTCTAAGGTTCTGTCCTTTTTTTTTTTTTTTTTTTGAGACGGAGTCTTGCTCTGTTGCCCAGGCTGGAGTGCAGTGGCACAATCTCGGCTCACTGCAACCTCCGCCTCCCAGGTTTTAGCGATTCTCCTGCCTCAGCCTCCTAAGTAGCTGGGATTACAGGTGCACGCTACCACGTCCGGCTGATTTTTGTATTTTTAGTAGAGATGGGGTTTCACCATGGTGTTGTCCAGGCTGGTCTCGAACTTCTGACCTCAGGTGATCCACCCATCTGAGCCTCCCAAAGTGCTGTGATTACAGGCGTGAGCCACTGTGCCCAGCTTTTTTTTTTTTTTTTTTGAGATAGAGTCTTGCTCTGTCACCTACAGGCTGGAGTACATTGGCACAATCTCGGCTCACTGCAACCTCTGCCTCCCAGGTTCAAGCGATCCTCCTGCCTCAGCCTCCCGAGTAGCTGGGATTACAGGCACCCGCCACCACACCCGGCTAATTTTTGTATTTTTAGTAGAGACAGGGTTTCACCATGTTGGTCAGGCTGGTCTCAAACTCCTGACCTCAAGTAATCTGCCTGCCACGGCCTCCCAAGGTGCTGGGATTACAGGCGTGAGCCACCCTGTCCGGCCGGCCATAGTCTCTTAAACAAAAACAAATACTGAAGTTAAATGCCAAATGTGCACGCGCTTATTGACACACAAAACGTCAGTGGCACGAGTTTGATTCGTATTTCTGAACTTAATTCTAGATCTTCCTAGGTTTGAAGGATGCTCACGTATGAAGGAAATCATTATATCATTCCAGGGATATCATTTTGGAAGCGTCTTCTCAGTGCCTCGAGGTTGGGCTGAGCCCCACGTCCGACATTCTGTCTGCGTTGATGGCCTGTTTGTGGTGCCCTGTCCTTGCCCTCCAAGCCGGGGGCTGTTTCTCATTCAGAGCCTCTCGCTCAGCCCTGGTTTCACTGGTGTATCAGTTCTGGCTTCTCTCTGGTCTTAGCAGCCGGCAGCCCTCCCGAGACCACACCGTCCCTTTCTCTCTGGTCTCAGCAGCCGGCAGCCCTCCTGAGACCACACCATCCCTCGATGGGAGGTGGCCTTTCTTTGCCTCTGAGGATATTTAAATGTGGCCAGGCTGGGCCGAAACACCTTTGAAGTTGAAGGAACTGTGCGTTCATTCATAAGCTTCGTAGCGTCGCAAAACTCTGACCAGTATTTTTTATTGAATTCTGAGTACTTCTGAGCTTTTGTATGATTCCGTGGTTACAGCTTCCAGTCTCATTCAATGGACGTGTTCTAGGTAGGTGAACACACGTACATGCACACACACACGCTCACACATTCACACACACTCATACTCTCACACATATACCTACAATGGGCACACACACACTCACACACCTACACACACGCACACCTACACTCACACGCGCACACACACCTACACTGGCACACCCCCCCACGCTCACACACGTGCACACTCACACCCTCGTGCTCGCACACACGGACTTGCATACACTCACTCACACTCACTCTGCAGGGTCCTGGCTGTTGGAGTGTCTGGTCCGCACATCCTGTGGGGCCATCTCTGGGGACGTCCTGCTCCCTCTTTGACTCTGTGCCCTGGGGTCTCAGTCCTATCTCACTTGTTTCTCTCTGCTGAAGAGTGTGGATGGAGGTTCTTCCACAGAGCAGTGCCAGGTACCTCCCCTGCCATCACCAAAGGGAGCTGCCTCCGCCTGGCCCGTCCTTGGACTCACACTGGGGCAGTGGCTTGAACTGCTGGTCATTTTGTGGATTGAGCCACATAAAGGCAGAGTGTTCTCCTGACAGGCTCGGGTGAAAATGGGTAACCCAGGCCACGCGTGGTGGTTCACGCCTGTAATCCCAGCACTTCGGGAGGCCAAGGCGGGTGGATCACGAGGTCAGGAGTTCAAGACCAGTCTGGCAAACATGGTGAAACCCCATCTCTACTAAAAATTAAAAAAGTTAGCCGGGCACAGTGGCAGGCACCTGTAATTCCAGCTACTCGAGAGGCTGAGGCAGGAGAAACGCTTGAACCCGGGAGGCGGAGCTTGCAATGAGCCGAGATCCCGCCACTGCACTCCAGCCTGGGCGACAGAGCAAGACTCTGTCTCCAAAATAAAAAAAAGCAGAAACGAGTAACCCAGCAACCCGAGGTCCTGCAAGCATCTTGGGGTTTTAAGAATCACCTGCTGAGTGAAGCAGGCCTGCCAAACGCTGCCAGTGTTTTGAGGCATCTGGGGGTCGGTACGGGTGGGGGAACTGGGGCCTCGAGGCTGTACCCTTGAGCTGCCCGTCTCACAGGGTGGCAGCCTCTGCCATGGCCTTGATGATGAGTGTGCCCCCCAGGCCGGCCTGGCCAAAAGTTCCCCTGCTGCCGACAGGCTGGCCGCTGGCTTCCTTCGGTGCCCGGGCTGAGCTGGGCTGTGTGACCCGTCTCCACAGGACCACCAAGCTCACCAAGGACCTGGCATTCGGCGTCCCCCTACCTGCTGGTCTCGTGGGAATAACTGGCTTCCAGAGTGCTGGGTCCTCCCCTCCCAGAGCTTTACGTGGCCTGGGGAATGTGCAGCCGTGGGCGCTGCTGAAAATTCCTTTTCTAAGGAGACCG